ATATGCATAATATGGGTAATAAGGATGTGGAAAACATTGAGAAAATACTTTATTTGATAAAAATCAACATAAGGTATGTATACATTTCTACAGAATATCACAAATTGGCGGCCATTTTGGATTTTTTGGCCAAACGGTAAATTTTTTCCGTGGGCTACGGCTCTAATTTGATTTAGTATGTCAAAAGGTACCCACATGCAAAATTTGGTGCTTTTATCCGCCGTGTCACGATTTGGCCATTTTTTTGCCCTAAGCCACTGGACTAATAAGGGTGTGGAAAACTCTGAGAAAATAATTTATTTGATAAAAAATCAACATAGGTATGAACATATTTCTATAGAATCCCATAAATTGGCGGCCATTTTGGATTTTTTGACCAAACGGTAAATTGTTTGAGAGGGCTACGGCTCTAATTTGATTTAGAATGTCAAAAGGTAACTACATGTCAAATTCGGTGCTTTTATCCGCCGTGTCATGATTTTTTCCTTAAGCCACCGGACTATTAATAACACAAACATGATCAATTCACAATACAGTATTTATCATATCATTCAGTTTACCTTTAAACTTATCAAAGTAAGCCTTTTTACATTTCAGTCCATCTTCATCATTCCAAAAGTATGTAGGCATGCTTGGGAAAGGCTTTGTACATACTAATTCTCCACTTTCTCCAAACACAGGTTTCTCTACAACAAAGCATAGTCATATTTCAAATTACAGCTGCATTAGAAGCCCCTACATAATACATAATGAATGACACCACATATAATAAGGGATATCGAATGATCCCATTTTAAATGATTCCCCATTACACCTTATAGGGGCTTATATATATATGTTCCCATAATACTAGATAAATCTTTTTAATGACTGCCTACCATACGGTCTGTAAGGCTGTGAACGGTGTATGGAAAATGCACCCTAATTAAACACCAAAAGAACAACTCTGGATCCTGTCTTATTTTCCTGACAGGCAGACTAACACCAAAAGTACCACTCTGGATCCTGTTTTATTTTCCTGACAGGCAGACTAACACCTAAATTCATCTGACCATAGACCCTTAAAAAACATGAATATGTGTGTTTAACATTATCAAAACTATAATATCGTTGTCTTAACTTATCATTCATAACTAATTTAATGTTAGAGGAATAGTAGAAGGAAGGAAATAGAAGGAAAAAACCAAAACAGATTGAGTGCTGCTCTGTCATCACTGCAGCAACAGGGGTAAAGAGTGACTTGACTGCTGAACATGTTAACTTTCTAATGGAGAATGCCTCACCAATATGAACCTTTGAGGACGCAACCTTGACTGCTGAACATGTAAACTTTTTACTGGAGAATGTCTCACTAAAATGAGCCTTGAGGACACAATCTTCAGGCCCATAGCCAGTAATTTCAAAAGGGGGGTTCTTTTTCTGAAAAAAGTGGACCTTTTCCCATAAAAACTTAATGTACCTAGATCAAATTTTACCCAGAGTGAACCTTTTCCCAGCAAAAGGGGCGGTTCTTTCGAACCCCCCGAACCCCCCCTGGCTACGGGCCTGATCTTGACCGCTGAACATGTAAAGTTTCTATTGGAGAATGCCTCACCAAAATGAACCTTTGAGGACACAACCTTGACTGCTGAACATGTAAACTTTCTAATGGAGAATGTCTCACCAAAATGAACCTTTGAGGACACAACCTTGACTGCTGAACATGTAAACTTTCTAATGGAGAATGCCTCACCAAAATGAACCTCTGATGACATAGTCAAAAAACAAGCATGTTCCCTCCATAGACAACATTTTGTGTGAACAAATTCTATGACAGATATACATGTAGATATTTGAACATGTAAGTGCAGCATAACTGATCTGTCATCCTTGCAATAATTTTCTTCAGTAATGACATGACAATGAAATGTGATATATAGGGCAGACAGCATATTACCATCCTCATTCCAACACTCCACAGCCATTCCTAGGTTTCTAGCCTGAATTTCTCCCCTATATACAGGCAGAGTGCAATTCTGGCCAGCAAAGCACGATATGATGTCTGTTCCTCCTGAAATATAAACAGAATATGAGGCCTGTTGTCCCTATTATATTAGATACAAATAACACCAGTCACACTTTACTTACATTGTCATATTAATGTATTTCTACATCGCATGCTGTATCAATTGAACTGCTGTGGGTTATTCACCTGTTATTGATCCTAGAAGTAAATCTTTTTTAATATCCCTGTAGACATATTCATAGGTCAGTGGTTTAAGTGGGGACCCTGTAGACAAGATGGTGTGCAGGCTTTTCAGACTGTGGGTTTCAACTGGAAAATAAAATGATGTAAATAAAGCTTATAAAATAGAGTTTGAAGCAAAATGTTGCAACAGTGTACTCTTAGTTGAATTCTATTGAATATGACACACATACATTCATGACTTAGGACTTAGACCAATGCCAGTGATCATGATCCATCCATATAAACCCATGGCTTAAGATCCACATTTAGACAAATGCCATTGTTCATGATCCACCCATATAAACCCACAGCTTAAGATCCACATTAAGACCAATGCCAGTGTTCATGATCCATCCATATAAACCCATGGCTTAAGATCCACATTAAGACCAATGCCAGTGATCATGATCCATCCATATAAACCCATGGCTTAAGATCCACATTTAGACAAATGCCATTGTTCATGATCCACCCATATAAACCCACAGCTTAAGATCCACATTAAGACCAATGCCAGTGTTCATGATCCATCCATATAAACCCATGGCTTAAGATCCACATTAAGACCAATGCCAGTGATCATGATCCATCCATATAAACCCATGGCTTAAGATCCACATTTAGACAAATGCCATTGTTCATGATCCACCCATATAAACCCACAGCTTAAGATCCACATTAAGACCAATGCCAGTNTTGCAGGATTCCACACGCCTTCCCCTCTTTACAAAAAAAAAATAATGGTACATATTTTTTTTTTAATTATATCAACGTGAACAACCAATACTCCCAGAATATAAAAATCCTTTTAATTAAACCCATCGAAAAAGTTGTGCCAAACTTTAATTTGTGATATGTAATCTGTAAACATGTACTAACATTATCTGTAAACATGAATCCTACAAACGAATTTTACATTTTCATCGACATCAAAATTAAAATTCATATTCAAACTTGATACACCGTGACAACCACAATGGAATAATGATAATCATTATGATAATAACGCCGTTTAAAATGGTACAAATTATACCCAATTCCGTCCTTATAAATTTTATAAAGGATGCTTCATAAAATTATATTTTACAAAATATATATGTATTCAATTATTATTATATCCCAATAATCATTTGCCTTTAAACAAATTACACTTATAACATATTCATATTAATGAATGCATCCCTTATACCACGTCCTTTACAATACTCTGGAATGATACGCAGATCTTCAACAGATTTTGTTTTTCATTCTGTTAGGGTGTCCAGTTCACCCAACCTCTACCAGGAAGACCTGGCGGAGTAACCGGTTTAGTCGCCGGACTGCTCGACTCTTCTTCTATAATATGCACTTTTTCGCAGATTTAGAAAAGTTTGTTATCCGGACTGTTCCAGGGTCTTGTGGTGTGGGTGTGGCAGTCTTTTCCTTCCAGGGACGTCACGTATCGTACAGCTGAACCCTGATCCAGTGTTACAGTATCGCAGACCTTGACGCTGAAAGAGACCCTTGCCACCAAAACCCATGCAAAAGATTGCAATAAGGACACACCGACACTGAATCCGAAATCAAAGAAACCGATTCCGACAAAAACAACACCCATTAAATATATAATATTAAGCATCTATAGATAATCAGGCATTTCATCTAAAGGAAAAACAAATGATATCATTAATATAACACAACATTATAAAATAGGATTTCCCACATATTTCGTCATTTAAAAAAAATCAACTCGGGGGCTGAGGTCTTCCGGAGTGAGGCTCGTCTCACCTAAAGGAAAAAAATTAAGGATTTAATAAACATAAAACGTTCAAAAATCAATATCAAGCACTGCTGGACCTTCAATTATCGTTCTGACCTGCACTTGGTAGGCCAAATAAAATAAATTTCCTCAAAATTTGTAGGTCTTATGTGACTTTTATAGTACACCCATACATTCATTAAACATATAATCCCATGGACACTCTTCACAGCTTGTTTTGAAGTTCCCTTTACTTCTCGACTTTTCCTTCTGGAAAATACAAAGAAAAATACATGTTCACATATATATCGAATCATCAACGCATTCGATTTATTTTCTTTCTTTATCAAGATACCTAACTGCCCGATCACTTTACTAATAACACTTACTTCTGGTACAGCCTGTGTATTACTCAATCTTATCAAAATTCATACCCTACATTGGAAATAAACTTATCACTTAATTAATCCCACAGGTACTCTGGGTTTCAATTTATGAAATCTGATGACTCTCACCTAAGCATGAAGGATGGGCCCTATCCCCCATACTAACCCGTCCCATCACCACTAGTAGTGAGGACACAGGCTGGCTTGAATAATCCAATTAACATAATGAATATTTTCCCATTATACTCTGTGCTACCGCTGTATCTTCCCTCTTTTCCTAAGCTTCTCTTCTATCTTTACATGAAATCCTTTAAAAATCAATGATCTCTAAACATTATCATAAACACTGCATTTACAGGACCTTCCTATCGCCGTAGTTAAGCAGTCTACCTCCATATCATCACTTCTTGTATCATTCTGACCCATTTTCCTAACTTTAATTGGCTTGGGGCTTGATTGATTTTCATCTGGGACAGCTTGTGTTTCAGCGTGTTGCATGCATCGTTTTCTAAATCGTGTATTATGCGAGTGTGAGGGTATGACAATTGGCCTTTTAGGTTGTGTGATTTCGTTTGATTCTTCCGAGTATGACATGTCAACACTTTCCGTGTCCTCTTTATTATTATCATTTTCTGCACTCACCACATCATTCGCTTCTTCGCGATTTAGATTTTCTGTGGGTGCATTGATGTCAGCTCTAACAGCTTCTGTTTGCGCTGGTTCTGGACCTCGTTGCGCAGGTACTGCTGCAGGATTAGGTCTTCGGAAAACTCTCCGAGCTCTAGGTGCAATCCCTTCCCAAGCTATGTTTGGTTCAACTAATTTCAACCTACGCCTGTTTATCATGTGCATTTTACCTGTCTGCTGATTTACCAGCCAAAAAACATTTCCGCGATACCTAGTTACTGTGAATATCGGATCATATCTTGATCCAAATGTAACTCTATCTGGTGCCGTAACAATGACACTATCTCCAACTTCAATCTTTTCGGCATTGGCCTTCGCGTCATACTGTCGTTTTGTTTCTATTCGTGCTGTCTGAAGGTTCTCTCTAGCTATCGCTAACGCATCTGAAAGTTCCGCTAACCGGCCGTTTAGCGCGTTTGTATTATCTCCATAGGTGAGCAATTTATATAGGGGGACTCGTGGCATTCTGCCGTACACTAGAAAATATGGACTAAAACCTGTCACCGTGGAAATGCTACTTCGATAAGCGAATAAAGCATTTGCTACTTGTCCCTCCCATGATTTGACATCATTGTTCACTAAACGCGATAACAAACCTTTGTAAGTGGCATTGAATCTCTCTATTTTCCCAGAACAGGCAGGGTTATATGGTGTTGTCCTTCTGTGATCAATTCCAAGACCCGAAAGATACGCTCTGAATTCGTATGCGCTGAAAAAGTCATTTGCCAGGGCGTTTTCTACCGATTTAGCAGTTTTATTTGGAATTGGATAAGATTCAGCCCAACCCGTTAAATAATCTATCACATTCAAACAATATTTGTTTCCTCTCGGTGATTCTACAAAGGGGCCAATTAAATCCATTCCCACGATCTGGAATGGGTATGAGGCGAGAGGCAATTCACCTAAAGTCGTCCTCACTGGGCGGGATTTATGTACTAAGCAAGTCGGACATCGTTTTAAGGCTTGTGTTATATGTTTTCGCATTCCTGGCCAGACATACGCTTCTCTTACCCGACAAAGTGTTTTGTGGATACCCATGTGCCCCACGTTTTTGTGACAGTTTTCAATCACCTTCTCTCTAAATTGTCTTGGTAACATCAACCGAGGATATTCGGGTTCAGCGTGTGTCGGAGGCCTCGTTGAGTAGAGCAGACCCTGGTAAATTTCAAAGTCAGACTCCTCGTTTTTCGCCTCTTCAATTCCATCCGAGAACTCTTCAACCTGACCCTTCTGTACCTCTTCAATATTCAAGCCGTCAGCTTCAAAAGGGATGTTATAAATGGGCATGCTATCAGGAATCATCCTTGGGTCTACCCAATCGTCCTCAGTATCTACGATAGCCATCTCCCCTTTTAATTCTTCTCTCTCCTCAGGTAACCTGCTCAAAAAATCCGCGCATATGTTTGTCGTGCCTTTCACGTATTCGATTTTTGCATTGTACTCTGCCAAAACTGCAGCCCACCTTTGTAATCTTGAATTTTGAATTTTAGATGAAAACATTGCTTTTAGCGGTTTATGGTCGGTGTAAATTGTCACGTCCGCANTTGAAAGTTTGGTGGTGAAAATTTTGGTGAATATTTTTGAAACAAGTATTCATCTTACTACCTGTAGGTTTTGCACTTCCATGTCAAAATGCTACATTTTTAATTCAAGAAATTGGCCCCATCGCATTTTTACTGAATTCTTCTTGTATAGCATACCCTGTATTTTACCATTCAAACTTTCAAATATTTCCAATATATTCTTCATTAAGTATCCTTAAAGAAAAGATGTCAGAATGATCATCAAATATCAAATAGATAGCCTTTTCATAGGGGAGTCATTGGGTGTTAGAATACAAATCTTTAATTTTTCTTATTTTTCATGTGTTTTTTTATTATTTTTTTCACCCAATTTTTTAACCATCAAACTTTCAAGTACTTTCAATATATTCCTCCTAAAGTATCCTATTGTGCTTCAGCCACCTTTTTAGTTTGACACAAAGCAACTGCACGCTTCAAACGACCTTTTTATATGCGCACATTGTACATCACCTACACCTAGCATTGCCATGCTGGAAACAGCAGAGGACTACAATGGCCCCTGTGGCGCGCGTTTTTGTCATGCGCACTTCTTGTTTCCGCAAAAGATGAAGGGTTAATTAAAAATACATGGCAATTTAAAGGTGTCAGAAATTATAATTCTAAAACCCCTGTGTCACTATGGCAACAGCTGAATCTGTCACAGCCAGCAGAATGTTTTAACTTAGGGCCTAAGCTATCAGAAAATCATAGTAAATAAAAATTCCTAATAGGGATGAGCTAGCTTGAATTTATTAAATTTTATATTTTGTATTGGAATAATGTATTATTTCATTTCATGTGTAAGTAAATTGGCAGCCATTTTGAATTTTGAAAGTCATAATGCAATCTGAATTAACACACATTATTGAAAATGGTTCTAGTTGTATATTCAGTACACCTAAAAGTAATAAAGAATGTTATTTGGGATGAATAATGTGGCATCTTTTCAGTTGGGACAGCCGTATGTAAAAGACATGTTTTGTGGTAGCTATCTTGGATTTCAGGATTTTAAGATAAAATTAAAAGGTTACATCTTTAACAAGCAATTTAGGCAGAAAGCAGAGGCTTTTTGCTATCATGGTACATAAGACGCATGCCGCATTGCAATTTCTTAATAATTTTAATTTTATTTGAAAAATAAAAACTCAAAAATCAAAATTTTCCAAAAATTTCCAAACATTATTCAAAAATGAGCAAAAACTTGCAGCCATCTTGAATTTGCTGCCATATTGGAACATTTTAACGATTGTGATATATAGCACACTTCTTAATTTACACATCTGGTATAATTTTGAATTCCATGATTTAAAATGCATTTGAAATAATTTATTTTCATTTTTGGTCTCAAAAATATCAATTTTCAACCTCAGACATTACCATGGCAACAGCACTGATTCTCACACCCATGGCAAACAAGTAGAAAATAAAAGCTAAGGGCCTAAATTACCAGAAAATCATAGTAAACAAAAATCACTAATGGAACTAAGTTCGTTGGAGATAATTAATATTCATATTATGTTGGAAGAATATAATATATCAATTTTAGCCAATGTGTATAAGCATATTGGCGGCCTTTTTGAATTTTGAAAGTCCTAATGTAATCAGAATTAATGGAAATTATTGTGAAAAGTTCTAAAATTCTGTTTATTAAAAGTAATAAAGAATATAACTTTGATGATAAATCTGGCATCTTTCCAGCTGGAACAGCAGAATGTAAAAGACTTGTATTTTAGTTGCCATTTGTATTTCAGGATTTTACAACAAAATTACAGGGTTGCGACTAAAACAAATACTGTCGGTCACAAGTATAGAACGTATGCTATTTCGGTGCATCAAAACATATCCCTCATTCTTATTCCTTAATAATTGAATAAAAACTAAAACAAAAAATTAAAATTACTCAAAATTTAGCAAAAATTGGTCGCCATCTTGAATTTACAGCCATCTTGGAAAATTTAGAGGATCGTGCACCTCTTAAATTATACATCTGAAATAATTTTGAATTATTCAATATATATTTTTTTTTGATCACAGAAATTTCCATTTTTAATCTCAGGCGTTACCATGGCAACGGATGTAGCACACACCCACCACCAGTTTTATGGCAAACAAGCAGAAAATAGGAGCTCAAGACCTAAGTTATCAGAAAAACATAGTGAATGAAAATCACTATGGGGGGGGGTCTACATTGGCCCTTAGACTAGAATGTATTCTTTTGGATGTAAAAATCGTCAATAGAATATTTCGGAACTAATAATGCATGATTTTTACAATTTGAAACTTAGACTAACTGCCCTATTAAATGCTACCTACCCATTTGGAAACTTTCGGCCATAGATTTTTCATACACGACACAGGTTATCTCTTTGATAGTCGGTGCATTACCTTGGACATATTGGTCAATGGCTTTAAGCATTCCTAGGGATACCACATTGGGGTCGAAACCACCAGCTCCTAAATTCATTTGTTGTCCTTATAAATTATTGTATTGAGTAGTGGTTCGAAATGAGACGATGTCTACATTTAATGGCATGTGTTTTTTTAGATCAGTATTTCAGTCGTACATCTTTCAAAAATCTATCAAAATCTATTATTTTTTATGAGTATCCTTTGTTTATCTTTGAACAACGTGTGTGTGTGTGTGTGTGTGTGTGTGTGTGTAAATGGTGGAACCTGAGCAAAGAAACAAATTCACCTAAAAGCACAAAGAATACATGTGTAGTGAAATATGTTGGTCTACCTGTTCCAAATATAGGCAGTATGATTGATAGTATGCCTAAGCTGTCTGCTGTTTTCAAGACTTTCAATATTTTATCCGCCCACGACCCTTGATGGTGAATGTCCAGATGAATAACGTGCTTGCAGTTCAGCTCACCAGGGTCGGTTACTGCCACTCCGTCCGTCGTTTTCTCTGAAATGAAATGTAAATTCATTTATACAAGGCAGCAAAGCTTCAAAATACACAGACAAAAAAACAGAAAATAAAAATGCACAAGATACCCCGTAGTTCATTTCCCCTTTTTGATGCAATAATAGGCCGCATTCAGAACAGAGGTCAAATATGGCCAACCCACTTGAATACTTCCCCACGGGATATCTATTCAGTGTCTATTAGCGGATTAGGCTGCAACCTCTGTTGTGATTTGCCATACTTGGCCCTCCGACTAGTTAGTTCACTGTTCTGAATGCGACCATAGATAATGCTTAACAGCACAATCAACACCAAAGTTTTAATCAAGCACAACAGGTAACATGGGCAATAAGAATACCAGGGCTTAAGGCCCACGATACTTCAAATTCACATACGAAAGTCCCATCAATTTTTGAATAAATGATGACAGTGCACAAAATTATACTAGGCCTACAGGGGTATATAGTGCTCAACAGCATAAACAGCAATTTTATTGTTCATGTGGATATACAGAAAATGTTACCACATGTAGTACATGGCTTCAGGAAAATGTGAGAGTTTGAAAAAAAAACATTTAATTATCACTCCTGTAAGTTTGAAGACAATAAGCTAATTCGTTTTCTTTAAAAGGTGATATCTATATTGCGTAGTATGATATATTCTTAAAAAACAATTAAAATAATTTTAAAAAATAGTAATCAGATCAGGCTCGTTTTTCGAAATCGACCTTTATTTGAGTTATATTGATCATTCTTGTAAGTTTGAAGACAATAGGTTAACCGCTTTTCTACTTAAAGTGTTATCTGTATTGTATGTATGCTGAAAAAGGCGAAAAACGACATTACTTTAAAATATATATGTCAAAGGCCTGGATCAAATCTAGTCCTATGCATAAAAATCCCATACCCCATGTTTATTACGCCCTGGCTGGACCCATTCTTTATGGTGTCTTTGCATTGTTAACAGCATAATGGGCAAGTTAAATGACCAGATAATCAGAATGTATTCAGCTATAGAACTACTGGCTTACAGTTTATAAAATTGATTTTAGAATTCGTACTATACATGAGAAATCAATGGTGTCCTTACTGTTGCGACATCCCTCTACAAACTGTGGTCCGCCAACAATTCGCAACCGTTTCGCAAGAGCACCTTAAAATGAGATTAAATCAAACCACATCACCTTATTTGCAGAGACAAAATAATGTAATTAAGTGAACAAATGGCAAAGAAAAAAGAGGTCAAGTAAAAGAAAACATTATATTTTACATTTAAACAATGATGAAAAATGGTATCAGGACAATTCCCCCCCAGACAATCCCCCCGGACTATTCCCCCCTCCCCCCCCCCGGGAAAATCCCCCCCCAGGACAATCCCCCCCGGACGATTCCCCCCCCCCCCGAAGAATATATATTTATATAAAAATATAAAATAAAGAGTTCAAATATTTTCATCCATTTTCTGAATATTTCTTAGTGTGATGATGCAACTCGAGGATAGATAATATTAATATTATAATATTAATATTATAATATTAATTTTATTAAAGTTATTTTCATGGAGTACAAGTACATAAAGTTTTCGAGAGAAAAGTACAGAACATTTTATTAAAAATCTGATCAAAGTATATCTCCAGGTAAAGGAGGGGTGAACAGATGATCTCACTCATCCAGGAAGCCCTTTGATAAATTAACTGTTACTTTTAATTGCTTTATTACTCCCCCCCCTTGATTGAGTAAGTCTTGAATCAATGTGCATCTCTAGGGAGAGGTGGGGTAAACAGATTTTCTCGCTTATCCAGGTATCCCTTTGACTCTTTTTCACTTTTAATTGCTTGACCACTACCCACCTACCCACTACCCACCACACTA